GTTGTTATTGATAGTTCTAGTTTTATAAAAATAGAATGGTTTAGGAATAATTATTCTTTTCTCACATAGTTCAGATACTCTATTCTTAATTCCTGTGAATATTACATAATTACAAGTTACTATAGGTATTGAACACATACCTGAGTTAGGATCACAGACTCTGATGGGTCCGTCTATACAATTTAGCATATCTTCTTCTGTCATTTCAACATATGTATGTTTGATCACTCGAGACAGCAATGTATGGTTTATCGTTCTCTATAGTTAAAGCTAATGAATGATTTTTTGCTATTGGTAAAGATATAATCTTATATAGTTTAAACATTCTGTCAGTTGCTTTCAAGGGTTTTTCTATAAACATTCTTAAAGTATCCTTAACAGCGGCTGTCTTTACGTCAGCCTATGTATAGTACATGTAGATCTGATCACTATGGGTAGGTATTACAAACTGTAAATGTGGAAGAAATCTCCTTTGAATTTCGTCTAACACTCTTTCTAGTTTACTTGATGGTAAAATGTATGAACTTAACTTTTTATCTGCAGCTACATACAATGCTTGTATTAACTTAGCTAACTCTGTCCTACTACTTCCTACAGTAAAATATATTTCAGCTTTTCCTAACTGTCTACTCTGATAAGCTATAGGGTGTTCTTTGCCATTTTCATCTAAGTGTGACAAAACTGCACCTATCGTGACACCTGCTTAAGATAAATTCCTTACTAAAATCTGGCTAACTTAGAATTGGTGCTTTTAATAAAGCTGAAGGTAATACAAAGGCAGTTTTATCTTTATCTTCTTCTTCTATCTCTACCTGCCAATATCCACTTTGTAAATCCATAGAAGAAAAATATTTACTTTTACCTAACCTATCTAAGGTTTCTTGGATATTAACGTAATAAACGTTAATTAAACGTCTTTGACTGTTACACCATTCACTTTACGAAAATCTACACAGAACCTTAATTTTCCGTCCTTTTTAGGAACTAATACAACCGGAGACGCATATGGACTACTACTGTCCTCTATCACACCTTGTTCAAGCATCTCTTTTACACATTCTTTTAATTCAACTCTGTGTTTTTCAACCGTTAGAGTAATTTTCTCCAACAAATATATCTCTATACTCTTCTAACAAGTTTATCAAACTTTGTTTATGTTTTCGTTCTACATTTCCTAAGATAGAATCCCAATCTATCTTACTTGGTTGTGTTCGTTTATTAACATCATTAATGTTATGCTGTCCTACCACAGCCAACTGTTCTCTACTACTAACTTTACCTACTACTATGTTCTTAGGTAGTATTACTTTTGCTTCATTCACATTTAACACCTTTACAGGCACTGTGTCTCTCTCGGACACGTTACTAATACAAGTAGCTATATATGCTCCTGTTTTTTCTATTTCTATAGGCTCAACTAGCACTTCTTCATTATACTTAAAGTCATTTACTTTAGCTTCAACTATAAATTGACTTCTTGCAGGTATTTCAGTTATTTTAACTAACCTTACTGGAATATTTCTTTCAAACACTCCTGTTGGGATGCTCTGTTGCTTATGTTAGGCATAAGTGTAGAGTCATCTGAGGGGTTTGAATTATTATTTTAAAGTCTTATTCATTAACTTATTCTGTCTTATCTTACTATCACTCACCTTATCTTTATGACTTCTGCTAGATTTAGTGTTCTTCTGTGCAGTCCTATTCTTTGGCTTTCTTTTAGAACTTTCTTTAGAACACTTCTTATTCTCACTCCTCCGACTTTGTTGTGTGTCGTTACACTCTAATAAAAAGTCAGTTCTTTCATATTTTGATGATTGATCCTTAGCCTTGCTAATATTAGCGTAAGGTGTCTGACTATTAGTCAGCAGGAAGGTATCATGTGTCTCAACTGTTGCATATAAGTTCGAAGGTTCAAGTCCTTCAAAACTTAACACCTCTGTTTCTATGCGTAGCTTACTTTGGGTAAGAGATATTTCAGTGTCGTAAGTTCTTAAGAAATATTGCCTTATAATACCATCTGTATCTAACTATCTGCTTACAGATGTAAAATGAGTGTTTTAACTCTAAGTTTCCTACTTTCATTTGCATACTATATCTACCTAACGTTTTAACAGGATGTCCTGTTATAGAAGTTAAAATACTTCTAGAAACTTCTTTCCAGGCATTGTCTAACAATGTCGGATTTCTGTCTACTAATTTTGAACTTAGTAGCGACGATCGAGCACCTGTATCAACCAATAACCAACATGTTATACCTTCTGTTTCTACTTTAACTATTGGTGATACTTCATTAACACTATGAACACTCGATCGTTTATCCCAAACTTCCAGAACTACCTGTACTTTCTCTCTGTAATCCCAGTGTGGATTACGTTTTGGGGACCTGTAGTGAAGGTAGGGCTACCGTTATTATTGGGAAACTTTCCTCTGTAACCTCCAGCCTTTGGGAGCTTTTCCATTTTCAGCTTTCCATGGGCGTCTGCAATCTCGTGCCATGTGGCCTGTAATACCACAATTTGCTCATTTCTTTTCTGCTTTTCCTTGACTTGTGCCCAACTTTGCCACAATTAAAGCACTGGAAGCCATTGGGCTTACTCTGTGTATTAGACAGATTAGCCTTGCTAGACTTGTTAACTGCATTTATAGCAGAATGTTTAGGCTTATAGATCTGCTTTTCTCATAGCTCCTCTCGAGTAGCTACTTCAAGTAAATCCAGTAAAGTGGCTTGAGGAGTATTTGCTTCATTTACACATCCTATAGCTATATTACTGTATAGCCCTCGTTCATATTGTTTTGCAGCATATCCTCGCTTGGATGTGCATAAGCCCTGAGCAATCTATTACCTAATTTCTGTAACTTATGTCCAAAAACTCGGATAGATTCACCACGGTTTTAATATAGGATGTGCATTTCTGTTAGAATTATATTAGTAGTTTCTCGTGTCCTATACTTTTCCATTATCTTACATACAAGATATTGATAATCTGTTGTCTCACACAGATCACCATAAGCCCTAATGTTCCTGCTGTTCTTAGACATAATATATCAGCTTTCTGGGCATCAATCCAGCCCGATATTCTACCTGTTTCATCTAAGGCGTCAATAAAGCTTTTGACATCCTCATTTGCACTACTATGATACAGCAGTACAGCACTTGTTAAGTGTGCAGCACTGCATGACCCTATTTGTGTGGGTTGCTCTGCTGCAGCTTTATGGTCAGTGTCAGCCCTTCTATCGACTCTAGGGCATGCACCACCCTCTTCTGTAGTCGTATCTACACCAGCAGTAGCCATAACTACATATTTCTAGCTTACACTACTTATAGTACTTCGGCTGACTTTCTTACTTTTCTGGCTTTCTTTACTCTAACCAACTTGTCATTAGCTACCCCAAAAATACTCGAGACTGCGCCACCTGTAAAGAGTAGTACCCTGTTGGGCTTAATTGTTGGAGTTTCAATTAAAACTACTCGTTACACCAAATTTATTTACTGGAGGAATTGTCGTGATGAGTGGAGCCACAAGTCGCTAACTAGAGGTAGTTTACAGTTAGACTAAAGAAATAGAGTCTCGGGCCAATTTATTAAACATTTAACATATTTTCAAAAACATAACTTTGTTAATTAAAACAAACTTTAAACGTTATTCAAATTTGTTTAAATACTTATATAATGGCATTAAAACACTTTTCACATTGATGCATTTAATACTGCATTTAATTGCTGGGAGTTTTGGTCACATTCTACATCTTCATTGTTCGGCTTTTCTAAGTACTTCAGAACTTAGGGAAATTCTTCAGAATGCCGGAGGAACTTTATGATTCTTGGAGGAACTCTTTCTGAATCCCAGAGAACTGATTTTTCAGTCTCTGACATGGGTTTTTTAACTAACTTTTCTTGGTATGATCTCGACCCACTAAGTAGGACACAGCATCACCCGCAAGTAGTCCTGTGTTCCTATTGGATAATTTAGGATAATTCCTGGGCTAATCCAAAACCATAACCAGAACTCAAGTAATTGGCTATAGATAAGTGATGTTAGCTGGCCACCTATTCACTTGTACTGCTACACCCATGTTCTGTAACTGATATTGCTTCAAAGTGCCAATATTACTCACTAAATCAAAATTTTTTGTAGCTTTCCTAGTTTTAAGGGGTTGAGGTCAGCAATCCATCAATTTCTCAAGCTCATTTTACAAAACAGGCATCTTCTTGTCGCCTCTTTTTTATGTCCTTGATTATTTACTTAGATTTAAAGAACTGTTAAAACTTTTAAATTCTGTTTTATGCATTTTCAACTAATAAAATCCTGAAGCAATTGTAAAATTTCCTAGGGAGAATAAATTAGTATTTAATAATTGATTATCAGCAAAAATGAACCATTAATCATCGTAAATGAAGCAAAGTGTAATAAAATATGTTTTTGTTACTTGGGAAGAGCTCGTGAACTAATATTCTGAAGCAGGTATTTTTTATTAACCTTCAGGTAACAAAACGCACCTGGGAAATATTAGACTCTTTATTCAAATTATAGGTGTTGGTGTTGTTGTTTTCCATTAGATAGTCATTGGATTTTGTTACATTTGAGATATTTAAAAAACAAAGGAATATAGGGAATTTATTTGTATAAAGCTGCAATATTTATTCAGTAAATCCTCATATAATCAATAATCTCAGTCAGTTCATATTAAATATTCTCTGACACAGTTAGAAATATGTCATTCTATCAAAATGAAAAATATATAAAGATTTATTGTTCACAGCTAGTACCATTGTGAAGTTATGTTGTTAATAATAGCGAGAATATTATATTTCAATATTCAAATATAATACAATTTTAAAATATCTACCACTTATTTATATGAGTAATATACAGTCATACATAAACTTATGTCTAAAACAGACATCTTAGGTGCTAGAGCTTTTCCTATACCATGCTTATCAAAACCTTTTGAAAATCTGGATCGAACTTAGTCTAAAATGTATTGAATTTAAACATTAATTACATTTTGGACAAATTTCCGTGCTCAAGCAAACTATAGGCAGTGTCCAAGATAGTCTCGTTTATGTTTCTTGGTTGGATTCTTAAAACATTTTTCAATCGCTCGTTACTGTATCGAACTATGTTTCCACATCGCGGAAGAATAAAATTTAAAGATCTGTGAAAAAAACTCGCAATCCAGAAGATTAAATACGGTGCTGTTAAAGTAGAAATCCAATATCCTTGTGGAGCAAATTCATTATGTAAAATACAAGCTATCTCCTTCATCATAATGTTGACATTGGCCACAAGATGTCGTTGTCCAGCAGCCTCTGGTGTCACCATGGCTCTGAGATGAGCCAACGCCACATCACGGACATCACAGAGAGAGAAACTAACAGGAGGAATCAAAGGAATTGATTTGTTCATCAAACGTAGTACCACGCCTACACTGGAGCTAGCATTTTTACTAAAGCTTGGTCCAATTGTAATACATGGGTTTATCACTGCTAATTCAAACTTCTTACCCTCTTCCAACTGGTCAACAAACTCCCACGCCGTTTTCTCGGCCAATGTCTTACTTTTTCCGTAAGTGTTGAGGTCTGGTGAATCTGGGTCACTCCAGTCTTCCTCATTATAGACTCTGTTATTTTCCACACGGACAGAAGGCCCGTGTATGGCAGCATTTGAACTTGTTAAAACTACACGTTTCACTGTGCCTGAATGGGCACAAGCTCTAAGAACTCTTTTTGTTCCCTCCACTGCTGGTAGTATCAAATCATCTTCTGTTTCTGGGTGAACGTCTGGACAAGGAGATGCCACGTGCATCACATAACTGCAGTCTCTAACTGCTTCTTCCCAACCATCATCCTTATTTAGATCAGCTTCCACAAGTTCAAGGGGATATCTAGAGTGAGGAAAGATATCTTTCAAGGGTTTTATCTTGGCTTGACTGTGAAGATCTCTCACGGTTCCACGGACACGGTAGCCCTCTTTTAACAATAGATGCACGATATGTAAGGCAATGTACCCCGACGCTCCGGTCACCAAAACTCGTGGCGATTCAGTTGACATTACAAGGAACTAAGCAACTGAAAATAAAGTTAGAAATTAGTGAGAAAAATGAATCATTAAATGAAAAAATTAAGAAAAATCTCGTCTTGCATGTGCACAAAAAGTTTGTCTCTTACGGTTATTGGAACAAAATATAAGATACAAAACTTGACGTTAGTTTTTACTCCACCTTTGTTCCATTAGAACTAGTCCACTCTAAGATGGTTACCATGACATTTTTCAGATCAAAGTCTAACCTTATAACTGATAGGTTTTATCATGCATTATTTAAACGAAACGTATATTTGATGATTACACACTATGAGAAATACATTGGTATAAAAATATGGGCGACAATTCTTTTATGTAATACAAAAAAATTATTTCCCTCGTGATCGAGATTTTGCCAAATGTTGCTATAAACCGTTGACTGTAAACTCCACACAAAACACAAGTTCCAAATAAACTTGGGGTTTTCTATCAGAATATTCGCTCAAAACTACACAAACGACTTTATGTAGCTGTGGCTAACTGATAAACTAGTAACTAGTGAAGAACATCCACTGTCAGTTCCTCTTATCTGACCAAGTAGTGGGATTTAACTGTCACTCCTATAATGCAAAAGCTGAGAGTGCGTTCCTGCACCAACGGGATGTAAATAATAAATCCTTAGTTTTATAGCGCGAGTAAACTATTTGTATTTTAGGGTGCACGTTGTGTGAAGAGTCATATGTAAACAAGTCACTTCACCGGCATATCCATTGCCACATACCTGAAACAACTAGATAATAAATATAGGCAATATGACATATAGGTGAAGTCGCACAGACTATAGATTTCTGTGAGACGATGAGAAATGAGGAGTGGTGTGTTATGGACGTAACAGCCGTACAACGGAGCCTTTTGTAATGAAAGCTACGCCGCAGGCTAGTGCCAAGATTTAAGGTCGTGAAGACATGAACTGTAACGATTTTAATATAACACATACAACCACTATAATTATCTTGGACGTAGACTTGAAGCTCGAGAAGTTGGACATTGATTGCACGTGAGCAACAGAAAGTTCAAAAAGTTTACATATGAATTAATGAGCATTAGAATAATAATCCAAGGTCCGTTAATTTAGCAATGCCAAACATATGAGAAAGATCTAGAAATTTCTTAATTAATGTTTTTTTTTTGTCACTGATATGTTCACAAATATCTCGGTGAATCGCTAATCTTTAATTTTGGATTGAACGTTGCTAGGCCTAGTTTTTTAAACGTTTCTCTCTCATTAAAAGTTTTAATTAATTCAACAGGAAAATACTTTATCTATTCACTGAAACTGGTGATAAAAAAGAAAGTAAATTACTTTAATCAAACTTTGTTAAACTAAAAACATACTATGTATGTAATCCATACATAGTAAACTGGAAAATGTATATATGTTAAAGGACACCGGTCAGAAAAACATGATTTACTTATTTTGATTTGTTTGTCTTGAATTTCGCGCAAAGCTACACGAGGGCTATCTGCGCTTGTCGTACATAATTTGGCCAATTCTTGGGCTACTTTTTTTACAGTAGGATTGATCGCCACATTATAACGCCCCCAGAGCTGAAAGAACGAATACGTTTTGTAGGAGGGGTATTCGAACGTATTTTGATATTATCATTATATATATATATATATATATATAT